GGTTTTTGGGTGGGCTTTGGGCAGGTTTTGGGTGGGCTTTGGGCAGGTTTTGGGTGGGTTTTGAGTGGGTTTTTGGCTGGTTTTGGATGGGTTTTGGGCTGGTTTAGGGCAGGTTTTCCCTGTGAAACATCCTGCTCCTACTCCGGGGATTTTGATGGGATAAAGCCTGCTGCTGTTTCAGCGAGTGGGCTGAGCAAAGCCCCTTCCTCTGCTCCTCACCCAAGCGGGTCCAGCTCATGTCGCTCCAGCACAAATAATCCCGTGCCTTGGGGAAAATCCCGTTTTCCACTTGTTGGGGATGGCAGGAGGATGAAAACCTTCACGTTTCTCGGCAGAAAACAACTTCCACAAGTTACGGGAGCAGAAAGCCCTTCCCTGCTGGTTACTGCTGAGAGGAGGGGCACCCATAGGTGCTGTCCAGGGTTTAGCACCTCTCCTGCAGCTCCTGGCTCTCTGGGAGACAGGAAAACATCTAGAGCGAGTGGAATGGGGTGGCAGGGGCTGCCCAGCGATCGCGCAGCCCCGGGGGATTCTCTACCTGGCTCCTGGACATTTTCCACCCCAGGCTGCGGATCCTGCCCATCCCGTATMCGGTGCTAATCCTTTTAGGAACCCTCTAAGCTGCTTAATTCCCACTTACCCCGCAGCAGAACCTTCCCCGGGCCGGGGCGGGGGTTCCCGCATCCCTTCAGCCCCGGGGAACGCGTCTGGGACCCCTTTCAAGGCTGGAAAAAGCCGGCGTGTCCCGGCAGGCTCCTTCCTTGGGGAAGGGGGCTGAGTCATTGCCGGGATCGGAGCCGTCACATCCAAACCTTTCCCCGCCGTTTGACACCGGTAATTTGGGCTCCGCCGCTCCGGAGCCGCTTGGGAGCGRCTGCAATCAGCGCCGGCAGCGCGGGATGAGGGGGGCTGGCGGGGAGAGCGGGGATTCAGCCCTCCCGGGAATTCTTGGCAGCCGCTGGAGAAGGTGAAGACCTTGAGATGTCTTCCAGGCTCCCGCAGCTGCCTGCGCGCCCCGGTCTTTTCCCAGGAAGGTTTCTGTGGGTTTTCTCTCCGCTTGCAGTGGGGTAATTGGATTCTTCCGAGGGGCTCGGGCAGCTCTGACCCTCGGCTGGCGGTGGCTGCCTGCTCTGCCAGTGCTGGAGTTACTTTTTAAGGCAAAAATTGTCAAAAATGGGGTTTACTAAAGTCCATCGGCCCTGGGCGCTGGTGGGGTTTGCACAAGGTGGTACCGATATCACCCATGTCACTTCTCCACCGGGTCTGGAAAAATTTGGGCTGGGCCAGCATTGTCACATGGGGACAGCACGGGGTGGGTGGCATCCCTGGGTGGGTGATGGGTGACAAACCAGCTGTGACACCACCCTTAGGGCAGCCTGTGKGGACAGAGCGGGTCTGGGGGCTGCTTGAGCCGCCCTCCCTGGGTGATCTGGGAGCTGAAAGCAGAMGGAAAGCCTTGATGATAAATGCATGATGGGATCTGCCAGCCAAAAATTAGCTTGGACCTAACTTTTAGTAATGACCCTCTGGAGAAATTCAGCATCCTCATTTGGGAAGCTGGGATGGAGCAGGAATAGAGCTGGGATGGAGTTGGGATAGAGTTGGGATGGAGCCGGGATGAAGGTGGGATGCAGCAGGGATGGAGCAGGGGTGGAGCAGGGATGGAGCAGGGATGGAGCTGGAATGAGGCGGGGATGGAGCAGGGGTGGGGCAGGGATGGAGCTGGGATGGAGCTGGGGTGGGGCAGGGATGGAGCTGGGATGGAGCAGGGGTGGAGCAGGGATGGAGCTGGGATGAAGGTGGGATGGAGATTGGTTGAAGCTGGGATGGAGCAGGGATGGAGCTGGGATTGGGCAGGGATGGAGCAGGGATGGAGCTGGAATGGACCCACTCGTGCTGTGTTTCTGTAAAAGGGTCTGTGCTGGCTGGTGCAGTGCTGGGGTGGGTGACTGATGCTTTAGGCTCCCCAGGGACAGTTGGGGTCTAGATGTGACTTCAACGCTCCCCGGACACCCCACACCGTGCCGCGGGTGGGTTGGGTGAGGCTGCTGCCACCCCTCAGCAGTCACAATCCTGCTCTGGGTCCCTCTGCATTTTTGGTTTGTGGGACAGAAACCCCGCTGGATTTGAGGGGTCTGGGATCTCCCCCTCGTGCCCGGATCTGTGTTCCCTGCTCCCTGCTCTAACCTGCCCTCTCCATCCCCTTCGCAGCCCACGCCAAGGGGCCACCCCCCAGCCCCGAGCCCGCCGAGCCCCCCGGGGCCATCCTGCTGCCCGTCAGCTACCGCCTGTCCAACACCCGCCTGGCCTTCTTCCTCAAGGAGCTGGGAGCCGGCCCCTCGGGCAACGGCAGCGCCCCTCTGCAGCGCTCCGAGCCCTTCGTCGTCTTCCAGACCAAGGAGCTGCCCGTCCTCAACGTCACCCTGGGGCCCTTCAGCACGGGGCTGGTGCTGCCCAAGGAGCACCTGCAGCCCTCCAGCACCCTGGAGGTGCCCGACCGCCTCACCGTCAACTGGAAGGTGCGCGCCTTCATCGTCCAGCCCCGGCTGGTGGCCAGCCAGCCCGTGGTCCAAGTGCTCTTCTACGTGGCCGGCCGCGACTGGGACGACTTCGACGTGACGGACCGGCTGCCCTGCGTGCGGCTCCACGCCTTCCGCGATGCCCGTGAGCTGAAGAGTTCGTGCCGCCTGCGGGGCAGCCTGGCCATGTGCCTGGTGCAGGCTGAGCTGCCCCACGCCTGGTTCGGCCCCTCGGCTGCACCGCCGGGCAGGAGGAAGAGCCCCGAGAGCCTGGAGGAGGTGCCGGGGGAGAGCCAGCAGGCCGAGCTCTACTACACCCTGCACGCCCCGGACGGTGCCGGGCAGTGCCTCGGGGACTCGGCCGCTCGCCGTGGGGCCGGTGGGGCGCGGGCTGAGGGTCCCACGCAGCACCCGCTGCTGCGCATCGGCAGCGTCAGCCTCCTGCGGCCCCCGGCCGGGCCGGCCCTGCAGGAACACCACCTGGATGGGAATGTCTTCATCCGCCTGCCGGACAAGCCGCTGAAGCCGGGGGAGGTGCTGAGCATCCTCCTCTACCTCATGTCCAACTCCACCGTGGAGCACTTCACCCTCAGGTGAAAACCCGGCTGTTTTTTTCCGGGGGATGGTTGGCTTTTGGTCGGTTGGGGAGGATGTGGTGCTTGTAGGATCTGCTGGAGGCTGGAGCAGGTCAGGAAGAGTGGGAAGGGCAGAGGAATATCCGGAATATCTGGGATGTGGTTTTGCAGTGGAAGATTCCAGGAGGGAAGGGCTGTCTGAGCAGGACATCGCTGCCCCTCTGTGCTCTGCCAGAATTCCCAGCTGTGGGTTTATTCCCATCCGCTTTGGGGACAGGGTGTGGTGCAGCTGTGGGTCTGCTGTGGGGTCAGGAGGGGGGTCCCCCTTGTCCCCTCATCGTGCCCCAGAACCGGTGGGAGCAGAATGGAGCGGTGGGCAGGGGGTGCTGAGCACCCCTGGCATGGACAGGTGGGTGTGGGACCCTCCCTTGCTCCTGTCCCTAAAGATGGGGACACCAGCCCTGGCCACACCTCTTCAAAGGGCACTTGTGAGTGTCCCCATGGCATCTGGGAACAGGGGATGGGGAGCTCCAGGTGCCCCAGGGATGCCCGGTCTCACTTGGAGTCAGCGCTGGGGCTGGGGGAGCCAAAATCTTGCTGGATTGGAGGGACAAAATGTCATGGAAAAGAGGAGCTGGAATGGGCTGCTCCTGCCAGCGTGGACGGTGCTTCCCACAGCCTGGAGGTGATGCCTTATTTACCTAAAACAGAGGCTGGACAAAATTCAGAGATTAAAAATCAGTTCTGTTTATTGCAGGGTGTGTGGGGTCCATTCAGGGCAGTCCCAGCCCACCCAGGGGCTGCACCCACAATGGACAATGGCTCATGGGTTTTTCAAGTTTTATAAATTTTGTCCATTTTGGGGCTGAATCCTCCAATTGCAGCTGCAGCAAATGCAGTCATTCACTCCAAGTTGGCTCCCCCCAATTCTCTTTGTTTCCATCTCTGGGGGTCTGGCACAGGGAGGTGTCCTTGAGTTTGGGGTCTACAGAGGAATTGCTTTGTGTAAAAATGGGAGAGCAGGAGCTCAGTGCTCTCTGTGGAGTCTGGAGTTAAACACTGAAGAATTCTGGGATTGCAGAGACATGGAAATAGAGAAATTAAAATCCTGAAAAACGGAAAAGATTGGGGGCAAAATTCCTGCTGTGCCATGGCAGGGTGTCCAAGGGGATCTGGGGGTGCCTGGGGGTGAGGGTCCATCCCTGACTGTCGCTCCCTGCAGGGTGAAGGCCAAGAAAGGGGTGAACCTGCTGAGCACCAAATCCCGGAGCGGGCAGTGGCTGGTGAGCTCGGAGCTGCTGACGGGCGGCAAACACTCCACGGCCACTGTTGACGTGTCCAGGGTGGACGGGGCTGGACCCAGGTAAGGGAATTGCCCTCTGGGAATGCCAGGGAAATGCTGGGATCAGGCCTGGAGCAGTTCTCCCTGTGCCCCTCGCCCAGGGGTGGGGGTGACTGCAGTGCCATGTGGGCACTGTCAGGGGAAATGAAGAATTTTGGGGTGAGTGTTGAAGCTGTGGAGAATCCCTCAGTTTGGGGTGGAAAAAATTTAATTTTTGATAAGAGGAAGAAGCTCTTGATTATCCTGATGTCTCCTCTGGGGAAGAAGGGGAGCAAGRCAATGTCCTGTTTGAACCCTAAAGTGATGGATAAGCGTTGGATGGGCAGCAGGAACCAAAAATCAGCAGCCAAGTGGGGCAGTTCTACCCTGCTCACACCTCTGGGGCTCCAGGAAACGCTTGGATCAGCTCAGGAGAGCCCCAGAGATGGAAATGAGAATGATCTGAAGGAGCAGAGACCCACAAAGCCAAGCTGAGAGCCCAGAAGCTGCTCAGCCTGGGGAAAGAGAGATGTGGGACTGGCAGGGGATGGGCATGGGGTGGAAAACAGYGGCAGGGAAGATCCTGAAATGCTGGAAAACAACAGGAAAATCTCTGTGCCTTTGGGAAAAGGGACACAAGCATCTCCAGGAGCTGGGTTTATTTATGTGCCCCAGGCATTCTTGCCCTCTGTGGTGGAAATCTCCCCATTTTTCTGCCCCCCGCCCCAAAACCAAGCAAAGACTGAGAAAAAGGAGACCCTCAGCTCTGCCTGCTCTGGGGTCACCTCAAAATCTCTCTGCAGAGCCCCTTTCAGAGATGGATCCTCTAAAAAAACCCTTAGAAAGGGGTGGATTTCCCCCCACCACCGCTTCCAAAACGCCCCCGCCAAACCCGCAGCGGGAGCGTCCCCAGGGTGTCCCCTGCACCCCCAGCCCGCGGAGAACCGAGCTGTCCGCACTGGGAGCATCTCCCCCTTCCCCTTCCCCTTCCCCTTTCCCTTTCCCTCCCCCTTCCCCTCCCCCTTCCCCCGCTGCCGGTGCCGCTCGCAATCAGCCCGCAAAGGTTAGAGCCGGGGGAGGAATTCCGAGCGATTACAATCACCTTTTAGACAAACAACTCCATCAAATATTAACGGCGTGGAGAGGATGGATGACTCCGAGCCGCGTTGCGCTCCGGCCTGTGCAAACAGAGGGATTTGCTGCGCTGGGGCTCTGGGGGCTTCTGGAAGCGCTGGCTGTGAGGGGAGGGGCAGAGAGCTCTCAGATTCAGGGTGAGAATGGACGATTTGGGGTGGTTTGCTGCATCCTGGGTTGTTCCCACAATGTGGGCGGCCTGGCTGTTGTTTCTGCTGTGGCTGGGGGCAGGTGATGCTGGGGGAGGGCACAGCGTGGTGGTTGGGGACACCTCAGGGCACCCCACGGTGAGGAGCCCCAGTGCCACCTGAGTGGGCCACCCATGTCACATCCCCTCTGCAAGGAAGCTCTGCCTCTGGAATTGCATTTTCCTGGCTGTGTTTGATATTCCTGCATTGGAACGGCAGCCAAATCTCCTTTTCAGGCCTTTGGTCATTCCCCTCGAACCCCCAAAATAGCCCTGGGGCACAGCGAGATCCCACTGGCCCCTGTGGGTCAGGTCTGCTGCAAAAGCCCGTCAGGGATGCTGTGGGATCAGGGAGCAGGGAACGGGAAGCAGGGATCAGGGAGAAGGGATCAGGGAGAAGGGATCAAGGCTGCTGTGGGATCAGGGATCAGGGCTGCTGTGGGATCAGGATCAGGGATAAGGGCTGCTGTGGGATCAGGATCAGGGATAAGGGCTGCTGTGGGAGAAGGATCAGGAGCAGGAGCAGGGATCAGGATTGGGGATCAGGGAGCAGGAAGCAGGGATCAGGGAGCAGGGATCAGGATTGGGGATCAGGGAGCAGGGAGCAGGAAGCACAATCAGGGATCAGGGATCAGAAATCAGGATCAAGGATCAGGGATCAGGATCAGGCAGCAGGAGCAGGGATCAGGGTTGCTGTGAGATCAGGAGCAGGATCAGGGATCAGGAATCAGGGCTGCTGTGGGATCAGGATCAGGGATCAGGGCTCACCATGGCCTGCAGCAGCTCCAGCTTCCTGCCCTCCTATCTCTCTGCTCCCTCTCTCCCATCAGACACCAATCCCAAGGATCCTGTCTGTCCCACAGCCCCCGATCCATGGGATCTTCTCAGCTGCTGCTGCGCTGGGAGATGGGAGCAGAGCCAGGCCTGGCTTCCCTTCCACTGCGATTTCACTTTTCCTTCCCTCTCTGCTGGCTCTGGGGGCGGGTTTACTGGCTTTTACTGGTTCTGGGACACCTGGCTTATGTGTCCCCTCCTCCTGTCCCAGGGATGGGGACTCCTCCTCGGAGATCATGCAGCTGGATTTCGAGATGGAGAACTTCACCAGCCAGTCGGTGACGCGCCGCATCATGTGGCACATYGACTACCGGGGCCGCAACCCCCCGCCCGACCTGGAGAAGGTGGTCACGGAGCTGACRGTCATCCAGAGGGACATCAGGGCCATCGTGCCCCTGGCCATGGTGAGCAGCTCCCTGCCCTCGGCTTGGTCACCTGCTTTGAGGGGTTGGGACACC